CTCTCTCCGCTTCCGAGCCCTTTTCCTTTCGGAACCTGGCCGAGACTTCTTAATTTTGAGAAAGCCCACCTCTAGCTCTGTCGCTAAGTTTCTGACAGATTCCTCTGTCAGAGTACGATCAGGGTCCCCTGGTGAGTGGCCGCCTGGATGTTCGGGGTCTCCTGGTGTGGGGCCACCCGGATGTTCGGGGTCCCCCGTAGGGGGGACCTCGGGGTTTTTATTATTTTCCTCGTGTTCCATATTGTTCCCAAGAGTAAAGGGGAAATGGTGGTCGACGTCCGCGGTGCCGCTACACGGACGCAAGGCTGGATACTCTGGGAGGTCGCTCGGTGTCCCAGAGGCTCCGTTTAAGACGGTGCATCCCCACCGCCACGCACCCCTCGGCACGGAATCGCTTAACACCTTGAGTTGGGTAAAGTACCATTGCCCATGATCACCGTTGAGCTGCAGGCGTCCCAGATAAACATCCGAGACACCTGTGGCTCAACGAATCAGTCGATTGGCCGGGCTACCGGCTTTACGGCGGGTCACCCCAAAAACTGATCGAGGCCGTCCACCGCAAGACCGGCACCCCTAACCCCCGAACTCGAGGACGTACGGGTTGGATTTTGTAGGGAAAGACTGCCTAAAAAGAGAAGTAAGGTTTCCATCAGCTTTAATGGTATGTTGGAAAACTTCATAGACGGAACTGTAAACGCAGCTGAATATCAAAATATCGTTGAAACGAATTTGATAGTGTAAATTCCAATTTTATCACCTGATAGAAACTTTATTTATCAACAAGATATATGGCCAAAACCACAAAAAAATGGTTGCAGGATAAAATTTCCGTCCTTGACTGGCCTTCCAGTAGTCCTGATTTACATATTATCGAAACTGTATGGCACAAAATGTAGCAGCATTAAGAAATGATCCAGAACGAAACATTTCTGATTTACGAGGAAAATTACAAAATACATGGGATTCTTTTAAGGCGGAAGGCTGCGAAAACATTGTTAAAACTATGCAAGCCATAATTAATTTTGTTATTAAAGCAAAGGGAGACGTAACGAGCTATTGAACTGGTTAGACTGAATAGAACATTTATGTGTCAGCCAAATATGGTTGTTATCAATATTAGTTTAGTTTTATAGTTTAATATCATATTACTTGATAATACTTTTGTTAATATGATGTCCAAACAATATATTTCAATGACTTATAAAAGAAAAAAATATTTTGTTATCTTAAAAAAATGAACAAACTTTAACATAAAATTAGATGTCCGAACTATTTTGTATTAGGGGGGGGGGGGTCTGATGCGATACTTCATTTTGATGCTCTACAACCCCAGTATATACATTTTGCCGTCTTTCAAATTGGAGGACCGAGGGACTGTCAAAAGTTGAGCGTTTTTGTATATTTTGTACATTAATCACTAATAAAAATGAATCTCTTGGAGAAATGTATCCAAATATTCAATAAAATGCCATTTATTTCCAGAATCGACCACTGCCAGAGTAAATAGCAGCTGTCTGTTGTAACTGTAAAATATCTCCGTTCTCATCGAAAACAGAGTCCTCACTGTGACCTCTAGATGCCGAAGATTCTGATGATATAGTAGATGTGGTCTACTTGCCATTGAAAACTAATAATACTACTTTTGTCCGTCAGATCAAAAGAATTTGAATAGGTTAGGAGTCAAGCCTATATGTGTTAAATTGTATTATTTGTCGCAGAATACACGTATGTAGTTTAAGTGCAAACCTTAGACTCATTCGTTTACCAATGCCTACCAAAGTGATAGCGTTACAATATTATAATATTATAATGCTTACCGGTTGCATCATCTCTATCTTCACTAGGCTTGTGCCGATCTTTGCAAATTATGTAAGAAGTACCATGTCTTGAAATCATCTAATACCACAATTATCTGCAAACACTGGCACTTTGAAAAACTAATACTGAATAAAACTGAATAAAAAAAATGACTTATGTCAAGTGCACTTTGATCCTCACTACTGACTATGAGAATGAAGAGACAAACAATTCCTTGACTGGCTCCTTCTACCTAGGCTGAATTCGTTGGTCCGACAAATCTGCACTAATAACACTGAAAAAATCAAAAAAATCAACAAAATACTACTATTTTTAATGTGCTAAAACCGGAATGAAACTTATTTTTTCAATATTAGTTCAAGTTTTAGAGATACGGTAATTATATGTATTCCTGCTGTGACAGTGTTAATATACTGTAATTCACAAGAATGCATGTGCTACATTTTTATATTCGGCAAGGAAAGCTGATGTAATCGGCATGATTGTGTTACGTTATACATACGTGTACATTATATTGTTTTATATTAGCCATTTTTTCCTCAGTTGGCTGACAGCGTTCATGCAAGATGTCTCGAAAGTGTGTAAACAATCCAGATCAGTTTTGTTACGTGTGTGGTGATGTGACTTTTGCGTCTCAGAGACGGCCTATTACACTAATAACAAAGGCATATCAGCTTTATTTCCGTTGTAAACTAGGTGATCAAGACAAACAGTGGGCACCCCACATCTGCTGTAATACATGTGCTTCAAGTCTGAGGAGCTGGTTAAATGGCAAAAAACGGTCTATGCGCTTTGCTGTCCTAATGGTTTGGAGAGAGCCTACAAATCATATTAATGATTATTACTTTTGCATGGTACCTTGTGTTGGACAAGCCACAGGTATGTCCAAGAAAAAAAAATCGGTTATTAACTACCCAAACATACCATCTGCGATGAGACCTGTGCCTCACAGTGACGAAAATCCTATTCCAAAACCCCCAGAATCCTACACTTGCGAATCAGAAAACGAATCAGATCATGGCGATCGAGTGATTCGTCAGGAAGAAGATATGCCATCAACGTCAAGAGATCCTGATTTTATACCGAGCACGTCATGCCACCAACCGCACAAAATAACACAGTCAGAATTAAATGATCTTGTAAGAGATTTAGAACTTCCAAAATATAAGGCAGAGTTACTTGGATCAAGACTGCAGCAGTGGAACTTGTTAGAAGACGATGTTTCGGTATGTGTTTTTCGTAAACGCCACAAAGACTTAGAACCATTTTTCAATATGGAGAATAACTTGGTTTTCTGCAGTAACATTAACTGCTTACTGGCGGCTTTAAATATAAACTATAACCCAGAAGAATGGAGATTGTTTATAGACAGTTCAACATTGAGTTTAAAGGCAGTGTTATTGCATATTGGAAATATTTTACCATCTCTTCCTGTAGGGTATGCAGTTCACATGAAAGAATCATATGACAATATGAAGTACCTATTGACATGCATAAAATACGATGAGCACCAATGGCATATTTGTGGCGATTTGAAAGTTGTTGCACTTTTACTTGGGCTGCAGCTAGGCTACACAAAGTTTTGCTGTTTTTTGTGTGAATGGGACAGTCGGGCAAAGGCACTTCATTACACCAGACAAAACTGACTGTTCGTCAATTCCTAGAGCCAGGTCAAAAAATGTACAGCATATGCCATTAGTAGATTCGAAAAAAATTCTATTACCACCACTGCATATCAAGTTGGGCCTAATGAAAAAACTTTGTCAAGGCATTAGATAGAGATGGGTCAGCTTTTCAATACCTGCGTCAGAAATTTCCAAGACTAAGTGAGGCAAAGGTTAAAGAAGGTATTTTTGTTGGGCCACAGATTCGAAATATTTTGAAAGATACGAAGTTTGAAAACACTTTAACAGGTTTCGAAAAAACTGCTTGGAATGATTTCCGTCTGGTGGTCACTAATTTCTTGGGAAATAGAAAAGCTGACAACTATAAAACCATTGTCAAAAATATGCTGTAATCGTATCAAAAGATGGGCTGTAATACGTCTCTTAAGATACATTTCCTACACTCACACCTGGACTTTTTTCCTGACAATTGCGGAGCCTTAAGTGATGAGCACGGCGAACGTTTTTATCAGGATATTTCAACAATGGAAAAAAGGTACCAGGGAAAGTGGAATCCTTCCTTGCTTGCAGACTTCTGTTGGACTCTTGGTAGAGATGCTCCAGAAACGATCCGTAAAAGAACACCAAAAAGATAGCGCATATAGTGATTCTTATAAGTATATGAATCTTGTTACTTTTTTTAATATATCCTTAAAAATAAAAAGTTTTTTTTCTAAACCGCAACTAATTTTTTTATTTCATTGTCATTTTTGGATTCAGCGCCCCAAAATTAACAAAGAAGTGCACTTTTCCCACAAGGTACAATTAAAAAACTAAAATTTGTTGTCCAGTGTAATGCTTATTGGCAATCCTCAGCACGGTCTAGGCCGGTCTCTAGAAAAGACAACGAACGAAAGCAAATTATCATCTATCGGAGAATAGACCTTCCACCTCCTTTGATGTGCTTATTCATTGTCATCCATTAGGACCTACCTATACCGTGCTGATGATTATCAACAAACATGAAACAGCTGTTCACGGTTGGCGGTCTGTTTGGTCGGACGGACGAACGCATCATTATGTAATAAAAAATAAAATAAAAACTGTCAAAATGTGCCATCTGTAACGATTTGATGATTTGTTAAGTTATAAGCGATTGGCAGCCCATCAGTTAGCCACTTTGAAAGACAAATTTATATTTTAGGGTTATAATTGCTGAGTAGCTCCAAATTGAGGTATCGGATGACCCATTCTGTTCATAAAAATGATGCATGAATTGCAAGGTGGCACCTGGCAACTGTTATTTTTACGTTAAATTTGATCACTCCTAATCACAGTTTGCTTACTTGACGCATTCAAAAAATAAATATTGTGGGGGGGGGGCTTTTTGGAAAACACTGTATAATAAATAACATCTGAAACACGGATGTGGTTACAGAGTTGTAAGTGATGAGACCAAGCTGATTATTAATTGACAAATAGTTTCTAGCGAGACAGCTTGGTGTGACTTGGTAACATCAGATTATGTATAATAAAGTTCCCCTTCCATACTGCATAATCGCCTGTTGGCTGGTAAATTGTTTCAGAGACTGAGCCACTGAGCAACTCGACGATTCATTATTTTTATATCAGTACTCGCGAAACCACGGTAGTTCATGATTATTGATACTTTATCGTTCGTTACCTTTTCTACATTTATATGAACGCGCGAACTATGTGATATCTGTTTGTCACTGTTTGTTCTGTTCCCATTGTGATTTAGTGAAAAAATGAGTATTCTTTGTTCGTTTTGTGATTGAGATAAAAATATACAGAATATCAATTCGACTGTATGCACTTGACATTGGATTTCATGTGAGTGTATTATTTAACAGAAAGAAGACCTTATAACTACATAGTTTCTTCTTTCTATTGCTGTTCTTTCATAATGTACGCATATTCCATACGCATAATAATAATTATTAGTAAATCTAAATGTAAATGAAAGCCGCGAATTCATAAAACTTCCTGAATGATTTTTTGCATACATTCACAAACTAACGAGCTTTAAACACAATAAATCAGGCTAACTAGCAACACGTTTAAAAATGTATAGACGAAGTTTCCCACTGAATTACATTCTCTAGGCTTAATGAGGATATTATAGAAATGCAAAAAATGGACGAATCTCTTCTCGCTGGGTAACTTTTTAAATGTTGAAATTTTGTTGTAGATAAATATTTCTACCACACAAATTCCAACCCGACTGCCTCAGAAGGAGGGTTATGTCTTTTATCCGCACGTTCCAGAAGGATGATGGTTTTTCGAACGTATTACGGACTACAGTCCAAGCGGTTTGTTGAATTTTGTCATACCAAGTGTCTCTAGGTTTGTCATTGTCAATTATTTGATTTGTTTTCAGTTACTGAGGTCGATTTCTTTTTTATGTACTTGTCCAGCGTATGTGGGCAAGAATAATTATATTTCACGCGCTACATTCCAAACGGCCTGATGGATTTTGATATGAGATGTTAGATTCGCCTTAGCAGAGCGAGTGACACTGGATATATCAAAATTGTAAAATACAAAGTGGCGGATTATAATTGAAAATGTAAGAAATTTGTGTTTCACATGATACAGCTTAAACGGCTTGATCGGTTTTAACATATGATGTGTTTCAATAATTTTTAAGTCCAAATTCTCGGGGATGCATCCTAACCAGTCAGCTAAGACTGCAGTTATATAGCGAGAGCCCCTCGTATACCTTCCTAATAGCTATAATTATATCTTATCTTAGTGAACAGCCCTATGTTATATATTGATGGTTGTGCCCTTCAGGCATCAGTTTAATCCTATTACTCTTAAATTGAACTCACTTAGGTTAGGTTTGCTAACATATCGTTGTTAGTCGAAACACTGTATTTATATTAGAATAAAGTATCAAATCGCTTGTAAGTCGTTTTTAAAAACACGATTCCGCGACGCGATACCATCATTCTGCGCTCCTTCTCTGTCTAGCCTTTTCTTAACAGCGAGTGCACAGGCTATATAATAACTTTATAAAATCGAAATTGGAGATTTTAAACGCAAGTTTCAACTTTGAAATTTCTGTTTTACGGCCTACAGCCAAAACGGCTTGATGGATTAATAATTATTATAAACCCTTTGTTTGATATAGTGGTTCATCTTTTATTAGTTATTCTAGGTTTTTTATTTTGATTTGGCAGACATTCCCTCATTCCGTGAAATTGTCATTTAAAATGAATCATTACATCAACAGGTAAAACCATATCATAATAAGTAAGTTATATACTCGAACCAAAACAAAGAGCATTGTTTGAATCACCTATATCTCAAAGGTAAATTATACATTGTCATACTAATTTGTTTAGAATGTTCAGCTAAATCTTGGCTGATTGCATAGAGCATGTATGTCAATTTTAGATTTTAGTATAGTCGTTATTTTCCTTAATTTCTTGTCAACGTGTAGTCTCAATGTTCCTTGAAGTATTATGAATATTTCACTAAGACAATGACAATGACAGCAGTTGTTGCTGGATCGGCCAATCTACGATCTGATTTTCTATTTCATTTTGTTCTACACTTATGATTTTAAATCTATGTATTGCCTAAAAAGCTAGAGTCATTTTGCATTTAGACTCACTATAGTACCAAAATACCAAAATGGAAGAGAATGGGGTAACGCATCGCACGCCATTTTGGCTCCAACTGTAAAAGTTGGAAGGCATATGTTAAAATGACTCTCCTTCTCATACCTATGTACAGAAACAAATTTTTGCTCAACAAGCTAACGATTCGATTTTTCTTTGGATTGTATATATTTTGTTTTTGACTTCTTTTTTTTTGTTACAGCTAATCAAAACACTGACATCACCAACGATATCAAAGATCTCAATTATCCTAAACCTTATGTATTAATGAAGAACTAGCTTAGGAAGAATTACTTGTAACTATACCACAAAATTAATATGAAGTACTAGATGTAGGAGCAGCCATAACTCAGAATATATTATATTAACATAAATTCATCTGAATCAAGTCCAACTTGATAAGAAGATTCAAAATGCATGGAATGATGAGGATAATTTCCAACTTTAAGGAGTTTTACAATGATATAAACGGTGCGACGCTGACTGGTGCCATCGATGTAATAGTTGTGGAGCAACAGGATGGAACATACAATTGCAGCCCTTTCCACGTCAGGTTTGGAAAGTTGGGGGTATTGAGGAGCAGGGAAAAAGTGGTAAGTGAACCTTTTTCAAAGTTCTTAAAGGGAAATTTGGTAATTTTGGTGTTGTTTTATTTTCTCGCGCCTAACGATGAATTAATTGTGTTTAACTTACTATGATTGTCAAACACATATAGTAGTATGAATAAAAAATCGGGCTTAGTAGGAACCTCTCAGAGACATTGAACAGTGGAGTTGGTCAAACAGTGTAATTTGTTCTATCAGCTAAAATTATTTAGGAGAAGAAAGACCCAATAGCATAATGCATTCAAGTTTATAAACAAAAATAAGCATTGGCGAAACGTCAGTGAGAGGCTTATTCAACATCTGCGCTATCACAGGACAAATTTCAGGAGTTTAACTGTCCCAATGCATGTGTATATCTCAAAAATGTTACAGAAGTTACAGAAAAAATTATAGTACTGAGGTAATCTTTCAACTCCATTTAGCTGGCCCACCCTCTGTGCCAATATGTATAGATAAGATAAGATTGTATTAAGGGTTTGCTATATGAGACTTCAAATCACACGATTTATGGTTTTGTTTTTTAGAAAACACAAATGGTGCAACTTTTCTGAAATCCAGCAGTAATTCTTGACAAGTAAATATTGTTCCTTTCAATGTTATTTATATTCCTAAACAAACATGAAAACACGATGGGAAAAACTTATTCTGATACACACATAAAACGTCAAAATATATTTAACAATAAACATAATATACGTGTTGCAAAATTAACTGCAATTGAAAGCCATCTTTAATGCAGATTATAAATAGTAATTTTCCACCACAATAAACGCATCTTACTAAATTAATGAATCCTGTGTAGATCAGACTAACTAACAAAAAATGGACAGTATTGTAGGATATAATGTATGGCTGGGTTTTTCGACCGAATTATATTCTTTGAGGAGAAAATAAAAGGCCCCTCGAGTGATACAGAAGGTTATGTTGGAGAAGTTTTGTTTATTATTGAAAAAGTTTTTGCATATTTAGGCACTTGCAACGCTTCTGAGAGTGAATGCCCCTGTGTCAGTTGTAGAGCGGGTGCGCGTCTCACGATTCAGGTTCAGCAACGTAATTTTCATACATACATATAAGACATAATATACATATACAATTTTCTTAAAAAAAAGCGTAATGGTGAAGGAAGTATTGTAAGCTCGAAATGAGTTATGTTTTTTGGATTGGATATGACATGTACATCACGAAAAGGCATGTCACTTATTTCAGACGGTGTCTGTCGGTCTGTTTGTCCGTTAATCCCTGGCCCGCCTATAACTTGGTTGAAATTTTCACATAAGGTTTTGCAGTTTTTGAAAATCGGTCCTGTGGGGGCGAAGAAAAAGGTCAAAAACGAGATAGACTAAAAATCGCTGAAACTTCCTTTTTTTGACGATTCAAAGTAGTGGTCGCCAACCCGTAGATCGCGAGATACCGGTAGCTCGCAAAGGCAATTCTGGTGGCTCACAACATAATTTTAAAAAGGTGTAAAAATCATAGAAGCATCCGTAAGTTTTGTAAATTCTCATAATAAACACAAGCAGCGGCAACACTGCGGTGAGCGATTTGTTCGAGAATGATCTCGATTTGAACGGAATAAATACGCAAGGCGGCGACAGTGTGCTCAGTTTAAAACTGAACGGTACAAAGTCCAGTGGTTGGGTTAGAGTTGGCCTGCACTTAAAAACATTATGAGCAGTAGTAAGAAGATGAAGACATACCATTTCCATTCGGAATGAGAAGAACAATATTTCTTTACAGAAGTTAAAGGAAAAAATGTAAAAAAAGGATTATCGAGAAGCACTATAAAACTGTTCATTCGAATTTTGAAAAAACTGAAACAAAAAATCAGTTAATTGGACAACAGAAAATGTTTTTAAAAACAATCGACAAAAATAAGGCTGCAACTGAAGCAACATACCGGGTGTCCCAGATAATTACACAAAAGAAGAAACCTTATGAAGACGGGGAAATGATGAAACAGGCGTTTTTAGAAGCTGCAGATTCATTATTTGCCAACTTTAGAAATAAAGAACGAGATAGTGTCTACTATAAAATCTAAGCAACGTTCTGCTAATACAGTGATGAAACGAGTAGAAGTAATGAGCAATGATATAGTTTTACAGTTAAGAAATGACTGTGCTTATTTTTCACTACAGCTGGATGAATCCACAGATGTCGTTGACACATCTCAGTTGGCCGTGTTCGTCAGGATGGTTTTTAGTGATTTTACGATTGAAGAAGATATTTTGAAGTTTATTCCACTAAAAGGACAGACTACTGGGCAGGACTTGTTTTCTTCTTTTAAAAATATTATTAATAAGATGAAAGTTTTCCGCAATTTCTCTGTTACCACTGCATTATCCATCAGCAAGCATTAAGTGGACATTTTCTGAAACTAAACAACGTTATGAAATTGGTAGTAATTATTGTGAACAAGATTAGAGCTCAAGCGTTACAAAGAAGATTATTCAAAACCTTGACCGGTGAAATTGACTGGCAATACCGGGAATTACTTCTTCACTCTGAAGTCCGATGGTTCAATAGGGCACGAGTGCTGAAACGTTTTAATGAGATCATAGGTATCTGCCATAGTTCAATTTTTCAAACAACGTGATGAACCGATTCCGGAACTGGAAAATTCAATCTGGCTTAGAGATTTTGGTTTTCTTGTGGATATTACAGAAAAATCAAATGAACTTAATTTGTAGCTTCAGGGGAGACACAAAGAACTAGCAGAAATGATTTCTTATATAAAAGCATTTATCCAAAAGCTTGAGTTTTGGGGACGAAACCAGGCATTTTCTTGTTCTCAAAGTCCATTGAAACCATATGACAGTAAATATCACGTAGAAATAGTCTCTACCTTGAAGGATAACTTCAAAAATCGTTTCAAGGATTTCAACGAAATTGCTATAGTGGCCCAATTTGTTGTTTCATCCTTCATGGAACTTGATACCCAACAGTTTGGAACTTCTGTTACGTAGAATTGTAGCGAAGACATCGATGTGACAGAAATGGAAGTGATCGCGTTTCAAAATGATTTAGCTTTAAGATCATCAGTCTCAAATAAAAAATGTATCTGGCCTTCAGTAAGTAAAGATAAATATTCAGTTTTATGTCGCGTTGCCCTGAAAGTGAAAACGTTATTTAGTTCAACATATTTGTATGAATCTTCTTTTGCAAATATAAAGTTTATTGAAAACAAATACCATAATCGACTTACAGATGAACATTTTGATAATTGTATTCGAATGGCGGTATCAAATTATACTCCAAACATTAAAAAAATGGTCAGTGAGTCTGAGTGTCAGGCTTCTCATTGAACACGTTTTTTTTATCTGGACATGTTTTTGTTTAAAATAGTGCGTTGCTTTTTTTATTTTTATTTACTTTTATTAAATCGTATGTGACATGCCATTGTAGCTGACGAAAATTTTTGTTTATTTTTCAAACACCTACGATTGGTAGGAATGGATGTAGTGATGTAGTATGTATTAGTTATTAGTAAAATAATCACATGTATGTCGCATACAACTGTATATAATTTCATTTAAGTTGGCTTACATTGCTCACGACTAGGTAGCCCACTGTTTATTCCAAAATTATCAAAGTAGCTCAATAGACTGAAAATATTGGCGACCACTGTTCCAGAGGATCCTGATCATTTTTGAAAAAAAGATGTTAGGGGTAAAGAGTTAGGGGGTGGGTGATGAATTTTGTGATGTTAGCATATTTATACGCACCCAACCTCGGTAATTCTACGCACCTATTAGGCATATTTCACACATCATAGATTTCTCATACATTTACCCTTAGAATGACAGAGAAATGTTTCCGATCCGCGTCTGATTTTGCTCTCGGCGACGTGCCGGTCTTGGTAAGTGTTCTGGTATTGCCGCGTTGTCGCGTCTGACCCGGACAGGTATCGAGGAGAGGCTACGTTGCCAGAACTACCGGTAGGGCAGGAAAATATTGTGTATGGACCTGTTTGTCCGACTTGATTTGTTTATTTTCTCTGTTACACATGTTCGTAACTAACTTTTTTTTCTCACTTTTGCTGAACACAATCCTTGTTCAACTGATAACGGTGTTTTAGTAAATACAAAATTTGAAAATGGACGTTTCTTTACAATAATAAATTCTTCTCTGGTCTTTTTATCGTATACAACTTATCTACGAGTATACAACAGTTTTTTGAGTAAACGCAAAGTGATTTTCCAACTTCGACGTTTATTAAAAATTACCTCACCCTAAAAAATAAATTCCGTTGCAAAATCCGCCCATATAGTTTTTTTTTTAAATTCTAGATACCCTGGCCTATAATAGCTCTTACTTCATAGATGACCACATAAACTGGTAACTCGGTGAATCTTTTGTGGTATTGATGGGTTTATTTCCGTTATGTAAAGTCGAAAACATACGATATCTTAATGAACACATTTGAAGGTCAATGTGATATGAATATTTGACCTTATTACGGTTGTTGTCCGTTAAACCTTGCTTTTGACATAAACGATCAGTTTCAGGATGAGCAGATTGATGCAGACCCACGTGGTTCTGTAGTGAAGCATAATTTTTTATCTGTGTTTGAGTATGTCCATTCTTGCTGAGTTGAAGTACTACTTATCGTTTGTCCTCATTCCCCACATCTTTCAGTGACACATGTAGACTGCATACGTCGCAGCTCATACCCTTTAGCTAACTTCTTGTGATAATTTGTTAAGTGAGCTCAGAATTTTTGCTCATTTGAAATGAGTGTACACTAGGGTGTCCCAGCCTATGAGGGCAAACAAATGTTTGTTCGAATTGTGTTACGCATATCCTCTAATTTTTTTCCATTTGACTCAAACAACTCAAAAAATAAATATTTTTGCGATCGGGGAATGATAACCCGTTCTGACTTTCTGTCAAACTTTGTCAATTATTATTCGACAATTAAAGCACTGCTTTATCTGTATCTTATATTTCTTACATATTTATCATTAAAATAAACATTATTTACTAAATTT